TTTTGTTATCCATGTGTATGGCTTCAGCGTATGTAGCCGGGAGGTTATCCCTCAGGTCTCGGTATAGCTAACCGGACCGTAAAGATTCGATGAAGAAGGTGAGCGCAGTCTGATCCTCGACCTCCTCAATAGATTGGATTTCTTTCTGCCAGCGAGCTAGATAGGTTTTCAGAGATTCGCCTTCCTCTTGGTGAACGTCTCCCAGGTGAGTCAGGTCCTTCTGAGGCTTGATGTTGGCCGCGTAGTGGCTCATGAAGCGGTCGGCCAATTCTTCGAAACTATGGATCGACTTGGAAGGCAGCGCCACTAACCATCTTTGTGCTGAGCCTTTCAGCGTGGGCAAAAAGGCGCGACACATCACCGGGTCTCGCACTCCCAAGACCTGCATTTTGGCTTGATAGCTAAGCAGATGTTCGCGTGGGTCTCCGGATCCGTCGAAGGTGGCTTGTTCTGGAAATTTAAAGTCGACGGGTACTTTGTAGGACATGATCTCGGAAGAGAACGGCAAAGCTGTGAGCAACGTCTGCCCAGGAGATTTGGTCTTTCCCCCCATTCGCTCTTTTAGATCTCATACTTCTCGGGCCAATTGGGCCACGTCGCGTTCATTGTGAGTGCGGTTTCCTGTGGATTCCGTACTTTCGCCGACCTCAGATTGGGCCGGTCGATCATCGTTGCGCGTTACTCGCTCGGTGCGTCTTGTCTGAGTCTTAGTTTTCCTGGTGCGAGCTCTTTCTCGACCGGTTTCCCGATCTCGGGGCCCTGCTGGTGCGCGACTGGGCTCCCTTTCTCCTAGTCGTTCTTGCGCAGGCTGCCTCCCAACATTTGGACCCAGCCTTGAGTGGATTGATCGTACTGGCTGGCTTTCCGCCCGTCGATTTTCCTGTCCCTCTTCCGGCCTCTGGGACAGTTGTTGATGGCGAGGCATCGGCCGAGAAACCGACTGTTCCATCACTCCTCGACTCGCGTCGACGAAGGCTCGTCCGATCGCGTGGAGTTGTTCCGGGGTTAGGGGTATCATAGGTGGCTGCCAATTCACCGATGCCGTTTCATTTCCTTGGCTCTGAGCATTTCGTTGGTTCAACTAGTCTCTTAGATCTGCCTCTATCCTGTTGTTCCGGTTGTTTGCTTGGTCTCGTCCTTCCGACATGTTCGTGACACTTTTTTGTCCGACTTCGGGACTCGCCTAGTGACTTCGGGACTCGCCTAGCTTAGAGAGTCACGTAGCTCCTTGTATCGATCCCCACAGACGGCGCCAGTGTTGGTTTTTGGGTTTTCAGGCCCAGGGAGGTCCAACACAACCTTAGTTGGTGGATTCACCTTTCACACAAAATTGCAGAGAAATGGCAGTACTCGTAATAGCTTTCAGTGTGTCTCCTCTTTCTCTTGGGATGAACTTGTCTAGATTACAAGGGTGGTGGAGCCCTTATATAGTAGGCTCCCCTCCTACCAACTTGAAGGCCATTAATGGCTGACTTCAAGGCTAGTTACAACTATCGAGCCGTTGGATGTCGTTACCGGATCGGCCAACGGCTCTTTGGATCTGTAACAGTCTGACCGAGTCCTGCCTTAAATGCCTCCAACGGCTCCGGCGCCGGGTCTTCTTAAATGTGGCCTCTCGACGCTCGCCTAACGGCTCTGAGCCGTCCCTTCATGGATTTGGGTCTGGGCCGACTCCTGGACTCGGCCCAAGTCCCTGCTGGGCTTCTTTCACTGCTAGCCCACGTTCCCTATCTTGGATTCCCTTCTTGGGCCAACCCATCTTGGGCCGGGGTTCTCACCCCATCATAACCCGTCGTGATGGAGAAGATGTTAGCTATAGACGAAGATGAACGAGATTGTGTTGTCACTACCAATGTCGTCTACAAAGAGGTTTCAATAATGTGTAAATATAATTGGTGATATTAATTTTTTTTTAAAATGAAAAAATTGCTATATATCTAGACAAAAAAATATATCTTCCATACAAATGAATAAGGATAGCAATTCATTTCTATAACTGGGTTGTTAGAGAACGAGCACATTTGCCTAATGTATGAAAATACTAAACAATGATAAATAAAATCTTCAAAATTATAGGACCGCATGCGTACATCTAGACATTAGCTATTAATTTGAGCAATTATTTGCACAAATTCATGCAATGATAACATCAAAATATATAAACGATTCAAATCATATCTTTAATTGCACTATATAATATTTGATGTTCTAATTTAAATAATTATATATCGATTCATATTTTCTTTATATATTACAACAAATCCATTCCGTGCATCGCACGTGTGCAAATACTAGTAATTAAATAATTATAATATTATATTTATACTGATAATAATAATTATAATATTATAATTATTATATATTATATATATTATATATAATAATAATCAGAATCACAGATAATAGTGAAATTAAGTAATTACAATATGTATTTGCACCTATTTGAATGATATTTTATCTATTTAATTTGTATTTGAAAAAAGTAAAATAATTTTTTTTTATAGTCTTAATTATTACCATGTACCTTGATCAATATGGATAATGACATCTTCTTTATCTTCTATTAAAAAATTTTAAAAATATTAAATATTATATTGTATAGTTATACTAACATTTTTAATAAAACTAATTTTACCTAATATCATAACATTATAACAATACTTATAAACTTTTATCCGTGGATCGCACGGGACAAATACTAGTTATAATAAAGCACTAAGTTTCTGCCTAAACAATTCTCCCGCCCAGTTAAAACGACGTCACTTTATGTAATCAGGTTTAGACTAAGTTAATGATGTATTAGTTGTCTAAATTAATGCCTTGGAAACTATCGATCAATAAATATGAATACAACAAATTATTCGAATTGCCTTGGAAAGCGAATTGGATGCATGTTTAAATTACAAATTTGAATTGATACCATCTAATTGAGCACATGCAACAAACTTAATTATTATTTCTCATTGTTCCAACTTCCAAGGCAGGACTCTTCGTTTTTCCCTAAGAGTCCATATTCAATTCTACCTCTAACTCTATATAAAGAGGTCAATGAGATACGGAAGTACACTCTGAGATTCTTGAGAAAACATAATACTCTGCACCAAAACAATACGGGTTATATGTGTTCGAACATATGAAGTACCAGAAGAAGTGAGAGGAGGCCAAATGATGAAAAGCAAATAATGTTTATTTCACGTTGAATAGGTAAAATCAACCCGAAACATAACGGGTCAACCCGTTAAGGATCCGAGACAAGTTAGAGCTAAACACTAACCTTTATTTTCGTGTCTGATTTTGTGTCGTGTCCATAATTGTCAGGTCTAGCGGGGAGTATACTACTCGTCTCCGTCTCCTAAACCTCAACTCCGTCTCCGTTCTCGATAAGAAATTGAAAATAGTGGCAAATTATACAGTGTTGTGTGGACCATAACAAAAAGTACATTTTTAATATACTAAATGTACATTATTCGTGTATTAAATGTACATTATACAAAACAATGTACTTTTTCAGTACTCAAATAATGTACATTATCTTAATACAATGTAAATTTTTAATATACTAAATGGTCTATACAATAATAATTGCAAAATAGTCTCCATCCTCGTTCTCGTGCGGAATTAGGCGATGACGGGGACTTTCTGTCCTCGATCAAATTTTAGTCAAAATTATAAACTACTGTAATTTTTAATTTTAAAAACTAAAAATCTTAGTCTTAATTTAAAAAATTTATATATATATATATATATATATATATTTATTTATTTATTTATTTATTTATTTATTTATTTATAATAATTATTTGGGGACAGGACGTGGAGGGATATCCTCGTTCCTGAAGAAAAATTACATACATTCTTCATCTCATTCTCGTTCTTTGAAAATTTTCTCCATCCGAAGATCTATTCTAGAATGGAGCAAATTGCCATCTCTAATCATTCCAGAGTTGCAACTTGCAATTTTTATGGCCAAAGACTTGACCTTTACTACTCTTTTGTGATGGCTGCGAAGATGCTCGGCTGGCAAGGTCAGCTTCAATGGTTAGCTTTTGGAGTTGGCCTACGAAATCAGCCAATGTGTCGATTGAGGACGGTAGTCATAGTTACTTAAAAAACTAATAGTTCAAATATTATCATCTTCGTCTTAAGCAAATATATATTTTGTTCAATTACTATATTCCTTTATAATACTCAAACAATTCGATACAAAAATCTCAGAATAAATTTTGTCTTATTCTTCAACTAGTATTTGTCGCACGGGAAATATGTTATAAAAATATACTCTATATGAGGTTTATTTATATAAAAAAAAATGTTTTACCCGTGTAACATATGAGTAATTTGCGATGCACGTACTTGTGGAGACTTTTTGCCATACATATACTGTTTCTATAATGATTTATTTCTATAAACTCCTTTTATAAGCATAAATTAGAAGTCTATTAATTGTTAGATTTAGTGCAAACGTTAGGATAAAAAGGGACATATGTTTAATAAAATCATTTCGTCTTCCAAAGATCTGAACATGTTTCTTTTCTTTTAATTTCAGCTGTTCACAATAAATCTAACAACTAATTCATACAACTCAGCAGTCTATTTGTTATTGGCTTTTATTTTAGGCTATTTTATTTTATAATAATAATAATGATAGAGATAATAATCTTAACTATAATAATGATAGAAATAATAAGAATAGAGATAATAATTATAACACTAATTGCTCACCAAAATAATAATTGTAACAATAATTGCTCACCAAATCATATAGATATATTATAATTAAAATATTTATCCAAAATTGATTCACTCGGACCGATTCAATTATTTCCCTCATTTTTTTTAAATAGTTCGTACGTTTTATTGTCACGGGTGAAATAATCATTCAGAAACTAACTTACCCCAGTACTCGACGAGTGGACGACACAGGGAGTGAAAAGTCAAAAAAGGCATTGTGGAATATACAAATATTTCCCAGTCCAATCATCCTAGGCCGTTTACTTAAGGAGACTGGAGAGGAGATATATCGATGGTGTCTGTCTTTTGGTGAGGAGAACAGAGTGGAGAAGATGTCGGAATCTCCATTGCTGCGAGAAGTAGAGGGAGAGAGGAAGATCGGAATATCATCGAGATGGGATGCGTTGACGGAGGAGCTGAAGAAGGTCAGCCGCATAGCACTACCAATGGTCTTCGTCGCGATTTCCCAGCAACTGGTGATCACGGTAGCCATGATGATGCTCGGACACCTCGGCGAACTATCCCTCTCCGGCGCCGCCATCGCCACCTCTCTCACCAACGTCACCGGTTTCAGTCTTCTCGTACTAACCTCTACCTTCTCCTATCTCCGCTTTTTCATGAATTTCTTACTCAGTATAATATTAAATTCCTAAACTCGCAAGTACAATTGCTTCTGCTTGTAATCGTATCAGAATGTGCAGAGATTAGCAGTAGAACTAAATAATGTGATTAGTTAACCCAGTGATAGTGATAGCTGAAGTCAATGTTCAATTGCGGATAATATTACTGATTTTGATTGATTGCGCAGGTGACTGGCCATAACTTTTTGAGTTAGACCTACCTTTTTGTGCTATCCATGATATCTATCTGATCTGCTAGAGCTTTAAAGTTCACAGGAATCAATCTTGGTTACAGATTGATTGATTGACTGATTGACAATTTTCAGATAGTAGATTGCGAAACTGAATGAACTTCTATGTATATACATACATAATACATAATAAGATTTTTTTTTTTTTAAAGGAAACATTTGTGCCAGTATCTATGTGTGTCTGTGTGTGTGTGCAACTTTTTCCAGAAAATACTTTGGCTAATTAGCAATTGAACATTGTGAACAGTATGGACTGTCTAGTGGACTAGAGACTTTGTGTGGCCAAGCATATGGAGCTAGGCAATACAAGAAGCTAAGTGTCTACACAAATGGAGCTATGATAGCTCTCGTTATAGTCTGCATACCAATATCTATTCTATGGGTTTTCATGGATAAACTATTGATATTAATAGGCCAAGATCCACTGATTTCTGTTGAAGCCAGAAAATATTCAATTTGGCTGATTCCTGCCCTGTTTTCACATGCTATTCTTCAACCACTGGTTCGTTACCTGCAAACACAAAGCTTGATCCTTCCAATGCTCTTAAGCTCAGTAGCATCTCTATGCTTTCATGTGCCTGTCTGTTGGGCATTTGTATTCAAGTTAAACTTAGGCTGTAAAGGAGCAGCACTAGCAATTGGTTTGTCGTACTGGCTCAATGTGTTCCTCCTTGGTGTTTATGTCCGTTATTCTTCCTCCTGCAATGACACCCGCATCAGCATCAGTTTCTCAAAAGAAGTTTATTCAAGTATAGGGGAGTTTGTGTGTTTGGCTATCCCTTCAGCATGCATGATTTGGTAAAACATAGCTTGCTATCCTTTCCATCAATATAATTCCCTTGCTTTTTTTAATGTTTAGCCTTTGTATCTTATACCCACTTATATTTCAGTCTTGAATGGTGGACGTATGAAATAGTTGTATTGCTATCTGGACTCTTGCCTAATCCCCAACTCGAGGCTTCAGTTCTCTCAATATGGTATGTATCTTTTTGCCTCTAGCCAATCTTTGTTGGTCTTTGTATTTGATGATTCTTGGAGTCCTTGATAAAATGTATCCCAATCATTGCAACAGCCTAATGATTTCTTCATTGCACTTCTTCATACCGCTTTCCATTGGTGCTGGCGCAAGGTCTATTCTGAAACTCTGCTGTTTTGATGAGTGTATAATGTTCCTAGTTTTGCATCATATATAATGTCTACTTACTCAGTAAAAGCACACATGGATTTGCAGCACTCGAATCTCAAATGAACTCGGAGCAGGAAACTCAGAGGCAGCACGAAATGTTGTTACGGCAGTACTTGTTCTCTCGCTCTCAGAGGCAGTAATCGCGATCACAGCTCTTCTTTGCTCCGGACGTGTTCTGGGATTCTTGTTCAGCAACGAGAAGGAAGTTGTGGATTACATAGGAAAAATGGTTCCTTTTGTCTGTCTGTTGGTTGTGACAGATTGCATCCAGTCAGTACTCTCTGGTCAGTGTACCTAACTAGTAACTCTCCTTGTATTTCCAGAAAAATAATCCATTGGAACTAAATTGAAATCAAAGTTCAAAATCCATGGAGACAGAAGCCATTAAAATCTTGCATTTCCTTTCTTGCTTCAGGAGTTGTGAGAGGAAATGGGAAGCAGCATTCTGGAGCATACATCAATCTGGGATCATTCTATTTGGTGGGATTGCCAGTGGCATCGATCCTGGGCTTTGCTGCTCACTTGAATGGGAAGGGGCTCTGGATTGGACTAAATATAGGAGCTGCAGTGCAATCCATACTGCTTATAATCATAACTTTGTTCACTGATTGGCAAAAACAGGTATTCTTCCAAACCCATGTTACATATATGTTTTATCTGCAGTTTGTCCTACTCAACAATAAGGTTTAGTTAATATTTTGGATGATAAGAATCACTTCAGTATCACCTAGCTGTTTAGCTGGCTAATGTGGACTACTTTTGGTGGAAATTACAGGCAGACAGAGCTAGGGAAAGGATCTTTGATGGAAATTGAAAATTTTTAGTGTTTCTGAGGTAATCATTTAAGCTGGCACTTTTATACTCTCTTATCGAATCTTAATTAGTATATTTACTTGTTTTACATTCATTGTGAACATCTGTTACTCTACAATCAGATCCAATGTAGAATTTTGATATATATATATATTATATATATGCACTTGTTTATAAATATGTATTATATATTTTGTTTCTAATCCGTATTTAGAACCAGACAAAATTATTAGAGCTTATCAGATTCTTATAAAATACAAGTAAAAAGATATTTATTTAGTCAATACATAATGGTTGCGTCCACGAATCACGATCGACATGAAATGAAACGTAGTTTCATACTATCTAGTACAGTGGTAGAACCCTAGAACTTCGACCGAAATCAAAAGATCCAGATACTATAATTTCATACGAAACACAGACAGACAGACACAGATGTATATGTTCCATCGCCGTGGAACTGAACCTGCTAGCTTACTTCATCACGATTCACGACACATATTATTCAAGCTGGAAATAGTGAAATACTCGCAACCGTGGACGCACCAGATCTGCAGATCAGAGATGACTGGAGTGTATCTAGTGGTGATGGTGGTGGTGATGCGGTGGATGCGGATGGTGAACCGGCGGCGGGGGATGATGGTGCACTACTGGCGGAGGCGGCGGCGGATCGTGCACGTGAACTACCGGCGGAGGTGGATGGTGGTGCACTACCGGCGGCGGCGGGGGATGGTGCACGACGTGAACTACCGGCGGCGGCGGAGGTGAGTGTCTATGCGGGTGGTGGTGTGGGCGGTGTGCCATTTTGTCTTGGGATTTTTTCTGGGCAAGGACAAAAGCGTTGAAGAGGATATATAGGGATAAGATTGAACTTAAGAACTAAGTAAAGGGATAACGACGTGCGGTAGCGTGTAATGTATTCGCGGAGATTGGAGAATGGAGATGTTAAGGTTGCGGGCTAAACACGTCAACGCGGTCGAGGCAAGCATGCCTGGAACTGGAAGTCTCCACCATAATAATTAAATACAAATTTCCAATGGTGGTAGCCTGGTAGGTGGACGACTCCTCCTCGTACCGGTCGGTGGAAATTGTTAGGTGTCTACATACAACATTATTGTCCCTATCTAACACCTTTTTTTTAAACAAAAATATATCCCTATCTAACACCTTAACACCCAACATCTTTAGTCAAGTTGGTAAAATATACTCCGTAATTCTCAACTTAAATATTATAGGTTTGATTATTGTTAATATTTTCTTAATTAAATTTGTAGCATAAGAGTAACTTCAATAATAAAATAATTTTGGTGGTTTCTTCAGTGTCATGTAGAGATGCGAAAGAGAAAAGAAAAAAAAAAAACAAAACAAAACAAAACAAAATTTGATAAGAAAAAAGATATATATAAATTCTTAATCTCAGAACAAGGGTTCAGGTGAGAAATGCACATACTATGCTGGGTGTGACAGTGTGTGCACACACAAATATTGGGATGACTGCACACACACAAATATTGGGATGACTTCAATTTCTTGTGTAATTTGTTAATTATTACATAAAAATAGAGTGGATTTATTATTTTAGTGATTACAAATTATCTAGTGCACCTTTAGCAGCCAATTAATCTGTATGTTTAAGGATTGGGGCATTCTTAACATACTGCAAAATATGCAAGAATATATAGATACACAAGAATATGCAAGGATTTATGTATAAGAAAATTCTACCAAATAGTGAAAACACTAACAGCTATAAATATATAAAGGATAGTAACACATTTGTAAATATTAATGAAAATAATTAAAATTAGTATTATTGTCCTATTCTAAAAAGTGTCATCGCCACCCATCCTTATATGAATTGACACATTATAACAAAAGCGTGATATTATCCTAAACCTATCTTTAATTTGTCCATCTAAATTAGTGGCTGGCTGGTCATCAGGATCCTTCCTATTTAATTGTTATAAGGTATCAAAAATCCTAAAACTAATTTTATTAGTCGGAGAAATAAAAAATTGAAAAAAATTAAAAGAAAAATATGTTTAATTGTCTAAAAAGTCATGGGTATCAAAAACCTTAATGCTAATTTTATTAGTGGGAGAAATAGAAAACTGAAGAAAAGAAAAATATATGTTTATGTTGTACATACACCTAAAAACTAGAAAATAAAGAATGAAAAAATGGAGAATTAAAGTGTAATAATTAAGAGAGGGGCTAGCTGATAATGAGGATGATGACAGGAGAGTAGAGAGCACAAAGGAGTGAGGTGAAACCAAGCTAAGCATCCATTGTATATATGCACCTTCATCATCATCTGTGCTCTCTATCTTCTGTCAACCACCATGTCCATTACAGCCAGCCCCCTTCTTTCTCTACCTACACTACACACCGATGTCTACATCGACATTTCAATTGGTTCGTTCTAGAGTGGTAGAGTGTAGACAAGAACATAAACCTAAGCCCCGGTAGGGACAATGTGAGAATTTCACCCAATGTGGTAGGTTGGTTATGAACGCTCAGCAGACCGCAGTACTAGTCCTTTCACTTAATGGGTCTCTGCCCTGCTGAGTCATGGGGCCCTGTAGATCAGGCGAGGGAGTTTCACTTTCTGTAAGCAAGTAATTATATATCTACTACAAAAACCAGCTAATTTTGCATCATCCATGCATTGCACTCGGTCACATGCAGTAAATGATGATAAATTATGAACAATTAAAATCGCAAATTAAAGAAAGCAGAAAGTAGGAAATGGGCAAGTGCTACATACATGGAGTGAAGAGAATCCGGCGGTGATGACAGAAGAGTAGAGAGCACAAAGAAGAAGATACACACAATATATATACTAACAATTCTCCGATCACATTCATGCATCCTCAGCTCCGGCCACCGGACGGTGTACCTCATCATCTGTGCTCTCTATCTTCTGTCAACTCATCACCACGCTGTCTCTTCACCCTGCTAGAGAGATTGACAAATATATATATAGAAAGAATAGTGAATAAAGTTGATGAGTTTTTTCCTGTATTAGCTATTTTTGCACTGTCTATATGTATGCTGCTAGAAGCTATGGATGGTTCGAGGGTTTCCCAGCAACGACGATTTCTATTTATAGCCAAGAAATAGAATCCCCTTTTCTACTTTCCCATTCTTTATTCCTCCCCACACCCTAGTTTTGTGTGAATCATCTAACAAAAGTAACACAACCATATGCATGAATTGTACATATAAAATTGCAATAAAATCTAACCCCATAGCATAAACATTACAAACTCAAGCAACCTCTAACCATAGTTGCAGTAACACGCAACACGGGACAACCCCAACCAAGTTAATTGGACAATTGATATGATAACCAAAAGATTCTTAGCTTGACTTTCTGAAAATGTCTATTGATCTTCTTGATTTGAGCCGGTCAACTAGACTGGTTTGGGTTCACTTAGAGCGCACTTTTAGGTCACGACAACTAATTATTCAGTAAAGAGTCGTTTGAGTTTCGCCCAGAGCACTTTTTGATAACGGTTGTGAACTTTCCCGTGATAAGCTAGACTAGTTTGGCTTTCACCATAACACACTTTTGGATAGCAGCGAACTTTCTCGTAAATCAAAGTAAATATTAAATTGACACCTACAAAAATTGTTAATTTACAAAGCATAACATAATTTGTCTATTAAATTTGCACTACTTAACAGTGCCCGGAAAAATGTTGCAATATTAAAGAAGTGACTTAACTTGAGTCGATCAAAAGATGAGTCTAATTTTACGAGATACTGATACCCATAATCTTATCTAAAAATAAAATAAAATAATGGTATGCCTTTATCTAGTGGTCCAAATCTTGTATTTATTCTATGCGGGACAAAATTCTTAATTACCTTTTGATCACTTCATGAAAATCCTCGACAATTAAGCCTTAAAAGCTCTAATGTACGTACAGAAACATAGGATTAAGCATCAAATAGTTTCTAATGGAAGTCTTAATTCACTGCTTAAACACTGATATTATTAATGTGGGCATAATTCAATCAATCACATTCGTTGCAGGTGGGGTTATAGATATTATATTTTAGGGTTTATGTCGTTCTACTTTGTACCTTTACGTCATGTATGTAAATGGAAGTATAAGAATTCGATCAGTGGTTGAATATAGAATAAGAAGGCAATGGAAGAGAATTTTGTCAATACAGAATATATACTTATTTATATGTATGTATATGTTACTGGAAACTTGCATGGGAATTAAGCAGATAGGAATATATGTGTAATAGATCACTTGTTACTTTGTTAGGCGTGAAATCACATGTTTCTATAGTGCAAAGAATTCGTATATATCAATTTGATCACATAGTACTGTTTCGTTGGGTTGTGTTGTGTGTGGATGATAGGGCATGACATTTAATTTATTGTGTATATCTTATATGTTATAATTATTGGAAGATGAAAGGTGTTAGAGCAGAGCAACATCATTTATCTATATGGTTTGAAGTTGATTTGAAGCAGAGCAACAACATTTATTTCTATAAATATACCGTTAATGTTGTCTATAAATTGGTGTTTGTAATTCTAAGGATCCGTTTACTAACTGAAAATCTTCTCCAATTTCTTAGAAAACTGGAGAGATGAAGAATACATAAAAAACAGAAAATATGTTTATTAACACAATTTTCAATGAAATTGTTTTCTAAATGAAAAACATAATCATTTATAATCTATTTGACTATATATCACTATAATTACATTATCATCATTATCTACTTATATATTTATTCATTACTATGATTCCATTCAATGTCATATTCTTTTTCTTATCACCATATTCTATCTTTTCTACTCACATTTACTTATATAAATATAACTTATTTGCTTACGCTTAAAGTTAGACATTATTCATATTATCAAAATTAAAACTTGAAATCTACACCAACTTTAAGATTTTGATTGAACTCAAAATATTATTGGTTTGGATATTTTTAGTTATGTTATATCGTAATACAATTTGGTTTGGATATTGGATATTGAAATTTTACATATATTGGCTCTCCTTTAGGGAAAGTCAAAAGATCGAACCCCGGTGGTGGAGTATTGACTCTTTGGGCTACAACAAATAGGAAAGTATATTGAACCATATTACCTTGTAATAGAGTCAATAATACTATAAAAAAAATCATTCAAATGAATATATCTAAAAGTATTTTAAATGTTAGCTCAAAAAATATAATATTATCTAATCTAAATTTTAGGTGAACTTAATATGTTATTCGTTCGGATATGTTTTTAGTTATCTTATATACGGATATGAATTTGGTTCTAATATCAAATGTAAAAATCTTATATATATTAGACTCAAAAATAAATATTATATTTATTCAATTTAAACCAAACATAACCAAAAATATTTTAAATATAAGGTTTTAAAATCACTTGAAATTAAACTTGTGTTAAATTTATAACGTTAGTCTAAAAAAAAGAGTAAATTTGAAAAAATTAGTGTTAGTTAACAAATTTTCTAAAAAAAAAAAAAAAAAAAAATAGAAAACGGAGAATGAAAAACTGCAAAATTAGAAAACATAAAATAGAAAACAGTTTTCTATAGTAAACGGGCCCTAAATGTTTTATTATTATCACACTTAATAAAAGAACTCATTTGCTTCCATGGATGTAGGCTCTCTGATGAAGTACGTAAACTTTTCTTTTTTTTTTTTCTTTTTTTTTTTTTTTTTCATTTTTGTTCTTGATCTTTTGATCCTGTTTTTCTACTACTTGCATTTGGGCTAGGTGCACCCCTAGCGACGAGGGCACGTGAGGCGAGATGCTTACTACTACACTAAAATTTTAATTAACAGTGAAAATGTAATTTTATTTTCTTATACTTGTGTTGCAATTAGCTAGTGTCATGTTTCAATAGTAAGATATTGAACGTAAATTGACTTTCCAAATTTTTGCCCAACACATAAATCCAAATTAACAAACAAGTTAAGTGGTTTAAAAAAAAAAAAAAAAAAACAAAAAACAAACAAACAAACAAGTTAAGTATTCTGCATAGAAAGCTCAGTTGGTCATAGGGGTAAAATTTAAAAGAATGAAATTTCTTTGAATAAAATTGGAAATAAGTTTTCCATCTCCAATTTTGGGTTCAATTCAATGCACCATCGTGATTTGGAATAGTCCATAGAAAGTTTAAAACAAGATGAGTGATGATGTGGACGCATATCAAATTAAAATTCTGAAACTTATCATGAAAAAATCTAAGGCCGCAATCTATCCATCAAAAGATTGTTGGAATTGCTTTGGGGATCAAGGGATTAATTCGCTAGGCAATAGGGCATGCATACAAGTGGTCGAGAAGCATATATGAAGAAAGACAAGAATTATATATCCCCCACAACGCCCATAATCTTTGGGAAATTAATCCCCCATCACAAATGCCTTATCACACATATATATCGCATTCTATATCTGTCCCCATTACGTCAATCTCATCAAATTCCTATCACAAATTATCTTCTTCCAAAAGATTGTAATACTTATTGTGTGGACCGTGATTCACATAGCTGTATAAATTACAGCCTAAAATGATATCGTTTCACGTATTTTTTTTACACGATCATTGGAACATACATTTTTAATTTATAACTCATAATGTACATTATTCTAAAGTATATTGTACATTATTCTAACTCATAAAGTAGATCATTTTATCCCAAAAGTTTTATTATTCTAACACATAATATACATTATTCTAACACATAAAGTACATTATTCTAATACATAATGTACATTATTCTAACTCATAAAATACATTTTCTTACCCCAAAAGTTTCATTATTCTAACACAAAGTACATTATTCTAACTCGAGCTCATAAGTTCAACTACATTGTTTTGGACACTGGTCCACACAATAATTTACCAAAAAGTTAAATCCCTAATCCAAGACCCCCACACCCAGCCAGAGTATTTGAGACTTGAGAGAGTGTAAATCAGGATGACCGAATGACATGATTCAAAGACAGCAGGGACAAATATCAATGTGCACAAAGCATCTGTCAACTTTGAATATAATCCCACACTGCAGCAACCGAAATACAAACCTAGTCTCTTCTCCCAAATACTCCCAAATTCATATCACAAATTATCGATATTACACATTGTACATTTAATCAAAACCCGTCGATTTTATTGTTTATTCTATATGCTGGAAGGAATGATTAGATAGGAATCTTGAAAAAGTGGGGCGGTGTGCATTCACACTGTAATCCGATCCACATGGCATAACCCTATAAGCTTCAATTCGATCGCCGTTGTTACATACAGGTCAAGAAATGGCAAGGTGTTAGTGCAGTGTTGCAAAGAATCATGGATTAGGGAGCTGGGCACCATTAACAGTGGTTTAAATTAGAGCAGTACAGAGAAAGTACATTAATTAGCGGACGACATCAGAAGCATTAAGGTCTGGTAAACATATGATTATTGATTGAACGTTAAGGAGACAAGAATAAGTGATGAAATGACAGGAAAGAATTATTGGGAAGAGTGATCTATCATCTATCTGAGTAGAGGAGGCGATGAGTAGGGCTATCCAGAAATGGAATCAAACAAACAACTGGCCATAAAAGACTGGACGATGCACCCCATCCATTATTGGACTTTCCCCTTTTGGAATTACACCCTTTTTCAACGATTCTTCATTCTCATTTCTGCTCCTGCTAATGCGATTGAACATATATTGGTTTTCATACTATACCAGTGCGTTTCGTTGAAGGGAATTTAAATTCCCTTCCCACCTAATTTCAAAGGTCACAAAATTTCCTTATTTGGTTGAAAGGGATTGTAATTTCATGGAATTACAATTCCCCCATTTTCATGAAATGAAAATCTCATGTCCTCTTAGGATTTTAGTTCTTGCGATTTTAAAAAGAAAAAAAGATAGTGATGAGTCAAAATTACTCCTTCTTTTTTTAACCTAAAATTAATGTCTAACAACAACAATGAACATTTTTAACTTTATACTACTTATTCCCTTTCAATTCCCATGTATACCAAACATTGGAATTGAAATTCCCAGTAATTCTATTCCC